ACTCAAAATCTGAACGAGGGTTACCTGTGGTTCATCATGCCAAAGTGTTTTGAATATCAGCAAAGTGAAAATAGGGCTTCTCCAACCTTTTTATTTTGGCTTAACTTCAGAGGCAGTACAAATAATTTAGCTTAACATGTTGCATAAGAGTGAAGGTAACTGGGATATCCATACGCTTACCCTATGGGCAATGCTTACGTATTGGTACAGTGCGATTAGAACAAACTGTGATCGTTGGCTACCAGTCTACATTCTGGACATTTTGCACCTACCAGACGTTGTCAAAGTCGCATGTGAACTGGACAGTTCACCGTCAGGGGAAAACCAGGAAGATTGAATAAGAGGTGTTGGTGTTGTTGGCCTAAAACGCAAGACATCACTTATTAGATGGACTCTTGCGAGACACAGCAGGGTAGAAGGAAGTGGTCCGTCAAGTAGCAGTGAAGACAGCACCCATAATGATTACAAACCGGCTTTGATGATGAGACATGAAGAATATGTAAATGATCTTATCAAACACAACCAGGACAAATCCATTTAATACAGGTTCTCACGATGGAGTACTCCTGACCATCGTGACTGGTTTACGTGCATCATTGTACGTTCTAGGTTCCCTATTGGTGATTAAACAGGTGGAAAGCAGCTTGAAAGGTTTCTGAATTCTTGATTGAAAACTGATACAAGTCGGAGCTTCTAAAGTACCATTACCAGATCAAGAATCACAACATTTACTGACATGTCAATGACAACAAAGACGAAAACATATTGAAAGTTGGAGTACGTCTAGTTCTGACCCTTGCTACGTATCGTGAAGATATCACGCTAGAACTGTTCTTAATCATCCTGTAGGACCTGTTTCTACTTCACATTGAACCTTGTAAAGGGTACTATGAGGACATTTGCTAAGTGCAAACTTGGACACCAGTTGAAGAATAACGCATCAAAGAACACTAACATTCGGCATAACCATGGAGACAGTTTACAATCGAGATGGCCTGGCAGTTATCCGTTATGTGTCAGGTAACGTCTTTTCCACATCTTACAAGTTAGCAGACTCTTACGTCAAATAGCTGATGCATTGCTTGAACCGTTGTTGTGGATGTTTTTGACAGGTAAAGGCATAATGCGTCAATTCAATCTGGAGAAAGAAACAGAAGATTGGAACTGGATACCGCCTGTATCAACAAATTGGTGGTCGATGTGTACTACCCTGGAAGAGATTTATGAACGTTGCCATCAACGTTATTTTTCTGACCATATGAATATCCAGAAAGATGATTCTGTATCACTGTCAATGTTTAGGCTGCTATGCTAAAATGATCAAAGTGACAGAGCTATGGACTGAAACAGAAACGGTGTCAAAGACGACAGATTTGCGACGCTTCATACCTATTCATGAATTCTGCAGTGTTGTATTAACTTTCTCTGTGAAATACTACCACGTGACCATGCTTTAACTGGATGTGAAAGCGTTGTCGCCTTCTTTGGCATTGGCAAGAAGATAGTCTTCAAGACTGTCACAGATAACTTTCAAGCATATCACTGCTTGTTTCCATTGACAGGATCCAATTCAGATGTAGCACTGTCAGTAGCTAGAACCTTCACATCACAGTTATATGATCCTGTGGGAAAAAACACAAAGGCTGTCGTGGTAATCTGTTCATTCTCAGAGCAAAGATGACTCTCAAACGTGATGTGAGTCTTGCAAAACTGCTTCCAAGTGAGGACGGTTTCACACAACACGGGCATGTTGGCAAAGCGGAATATGTATGTCACATGTTGCAAAGCCAGACCTTGGTTCGCCCTTGGCCTTTGGCTGGAGGAAAGAGATTGATGATCTTGTACCTGTGTACTTTGAAGGCTATACTTGCAAACCAATTATCCCATGCACTGAATGCACAGTTGTGAGGGAGATGACAGACATTTACAATTCTGCATAATATTATCACGAGAGATGTGTCTCTCAAAGACTTTTAAGAGAAACGAAAGCATTTCATTGGTATATTGAAATTCATTGACCCTGAAATAGTATTATTGTATATATTACACGACTAGTGTAGTAAATTTGGCTTGTATTGCCATTTTAATTTGGTTATTGGTCATGTATTTACGCATTGTTACCATTGTTACCAAACATATTAAATGTTTTAAAGAGACCACAGATAGTTCTGAATTTTATTGCTTTGTCATAGGCACAGCGATTTCAAGTCATCAATCTATGTGAATAACTCCTCGGCTATTTGAAAATCGATCATAACATTTACACCAAAGTTTGATTTGCAGGTCTTTTTCTTGTCTTTGTTATTGCCTTTTGGTCATGCCACCATCATTGGATCCAGAACTGTCTCCTAAAACAACCCAGATTTTAGTTCAATTTTTACTGCTGCGGCCAAAGCTATCCAAACAGTTTTGACCTCATCAGCTTTCATCACCTTCTCTGATTCGTTATCTTGCCTTTAGGCACTTAAAAGTGTCTCACCTTATCACCCTATTATCCTTGACATTTTAGAACTCTATAATGATTTTTCTACTGGCCAATGTGACATCGTCTTTTGCTGGTTACCAAGTCATGTAGGCATAACAGGTAACTCAAAAGCCAATGCTGAAGCTAAAGCAGCTCTTGACAAACCGTTATCTCCACTTCTCATCCCGTACAGTGATTTCAAACCAACCATCAAATCTTGTACTCGGGACGTCATGCAAAAGAGGTGGGACACCCAAGTAGGAAGCAATAAACTACACGAATTGAAACCAACAATTGGTCATACCTACTTGGGTTGTTTGTCAAGACATGACGAGGTCGTTTTACGACGATGTCGTATTGGCCACAGTCGGTTTACACACGAATATCTGCTTAAGACAGATGAGGACGAACCTCCTAAGTGTATCCCTTGTTATGAAAGGTTCCCCGTCAAGCATATATTGCTTGACTGTGTGGACTTTGCAATCGCAACGGATTCACATTATCAACGCGTAAATCTGAAAGATCTCTTTTCCCGTGTCAGCGGGCATCTCATTATCAGCTATTTGAAAAAAATCGGTCTGTATAATCAATTTTAAATATGTATGAGAATAATTAAATGCTTGTCCTTAAATGTGGTGTGATGCTATTATCAACTGACATTATTGAAGGCTCTGTCCAGGATGTTAACGTAGCGTAAAAATATTGTCCCTCTGTGTGACACGTAATCCTATCATAATCGATGTTACTATCATCAACCAGTGTTTTTAAGCCAACACATGTTACATTGCTGACAATTTTTTAATATTGGCTAGTATTGTTCACGACCACCAGTCGCTAAAGTGATGACGTAAATCCTGCTGGGGTATCATGCAGGCAGCAGAGGTACTGTAAGTCCCCATGATCCCCAGCGAGGTGGCCTAGCTTTGGTTGCTGGTGGCCTACAGCCCGTGATTTAAAACTGTATTATATTGTTATGCTCAAATATGTTTCATAAATTGTTTTTAAATATGGTATGCATGAATTGATTTTAAATATTCCTTTGCTATAATGACTCAATTGTTAACATATTCAACTTCGGTCTCGTCGCTATATGGCTGAAATAATGCCGATGCGACGTTAAATTTTAACTCACTCACTCATTTAATACAGACAATGTTCGATATGCCTTATCATCAATGTTGATGAAAATATTACCTAAAATGTGAAGGATTCAAAACTGAAATAAACCTTGGTAAATTCTTATTGTTTTTCTTGGTAGAGTCACTTGATCTGCAATTAACAAAGGAACATGCTTGGTCACCGCATAAGGGCATATCTTACGGTAAGACACAACTAAAAAACAGCGTTATCACTTTCCCACCATGGGGCACATTAGAATTGTGTTTGTTCATATAGTAGTGAATATAAACTTTAAAAAGAGTCCAAAAAGCCTTAAGAAGAGATGGGCACTTCTATTGAAAAAATCACTAAGTCCTGATAAGTATCTCTTAGATAAGCTAACTTCAGCAGTTTCTTAGAAAACTTGTCCCGATTGCACACACTATGCACCAAGTAAAACACCAAGGGACGTAGATGTGTAAAAAGATAATTGACGGGACCAATTTTCGAACAGTCATGTCAAGTCTTAAATAAGCATGCAAGTTTTCATTTACTTTCCCCATTTCACACAGTATGCACTGAGTTGAAAAGCACGGAGCAAGGGCCAAAAGTCTCTAAAAAAATAAATGACGGGATCAATTTTCGAACTCATTTGAGATCATGACCATTAAAGTCAGGGTGTGAAGTTTCATTTCTCTAACTAAAATAGTTTTTAGGACCCGTGAAGATCCGGGGTAGAATAGGTCTTCAGCACCCATGCTTGCCTTAAAAGGCGACTATGCTTGTCGTAAGAGGCTCTAACGGGATCGGGTGGTCAGGCACGGTGACTTGGTTGATGCATGTCATCGACCCTCATGATATTAATCACTGGATTGTCTGGTCCAGACTCGATTATTTACGAACCGCCGTCATATAGCTGAAATATTGCTGAGTGCGGCGTTAAACAACCAACCAACCAACCAACCAAATAGTTTTTAGAAACTTTGTCCCCTTTCAGAAGCGACGGACAGACGGATGAACTCCGTTCCTACATCCTCTGCCCTACTCCGTGACGGGGGATAATTAGCTTTCCGATGAGCCGTAACATGTCCATTCAAGAGACGGCATTAAGCTCCTTATTAAAGCCACTTTTTCTTGAAGGCACTGCTCCGAATTTCAGCACAATCACAAAGACTCAGACTCGCGCACAAAGCAAGGTATTTGATGAGAGTTACAACATTCAAGGCCTTAGTAATTTAATCTTTCAAAGGTTTTATGTAGTCATGCGTGTGTGGCATGGTTCGCTCGCCTGTCAAACTGAAATGCTATGACGTCATGATACAAGAGATGAATCAAGCGGCCAAAGATGAAACAAGCGAAAGAAACAATCTCGTTTCTTGATCGCTGCTATGCATATACTAGGCCAATAAATGAACAGATACTGTTTTTGTGATTGATAAACGTGCTTTTATTGGATCAACAAAAATTGTACATTTTCACCATGGAGTGCTTTTCATAGTCAAAGACGAGACGACCCCACGTTCAAAAGGCATAAGGAGAACACTAAGTGTGTTCCACGCAAGGTTGAGTCACGACAATAGGAGATCCAGAAGCGGGTCCTTTGACCTTCTTCCTTCAACTTTTACGATATAACTGACCAATAGCGACAAGAATATAACTTATTTGACAGCCAGAATAAGAGCCGGTAACAATTTTAATCAACAATCCACAAATCGTAAATATCAACACTTACTGTTTAATCTCTGCCTCTGTTATAATGGCTGTGTACATGTGAGCGAGAACTGCGATAAGGCGCGCGTGCGTGTTTGCACTAAATCTAGAGATATGACAGCGACCAGTAAATAATCGTATCTGGACTAGACCATCCAGTGATTGATGCTATCACCCAAGTCATCTACCTTCATCTTCTTCTACTTGCTGGGACAGATGCTTAAATGACTCAATGATGTAAAATATATCTCAGGGTGCAACATTAAATTAACACGGATACTTTGTATTAGTGACTGACCATTTGGTTTTTAATTCGTCACGTCATGGGCGTATATATAGTCATAGCCGAATATGGTACAATATACATTATACTGTGTTTCAGTCATTATAATGGCAAGACTGTGCCCTGTTTTTTCAAATCCGTCTTGAAGACATTTTTTATCTTTAATAGGTCACAGGAAATACAACTCTGTACTTGAAGCGAACTCCTAAATTGATCGGGACAAATTTTCTATAGATACATGTACGATACACTGCAGTTAACCAAGTTCCACATACTACGTATGGTTTACTTGTATATATTATCAATCAAAAGGTTTTTACCAAATGTCCCTTTCTATGTCTCATAATTACTATTTTCATCCATCATAGGCTGCATTGTGTATGTTTTCCATATTAACCAGTCGGAAAACGTTGTTGTTGCTAGAAGACTGCGATTTCCTTCCACTATTCTGTCAGGGCGACATTTTGGTTCAGACCATTTCATCATCAATGTCATTGTTCAACATAGAACACGTTACATTTTGCATTTTGTGAGCGCAGTTATCATAGCTCGGGAGATTATCGGCAAAAGAATTAGTGATGTCCGTAACGCTGGGTTGAAATCAGTGTCTTTCACTGATGGCCCTGTGGGTTATGAATTTTGGTGTGCCGCACCACAACTATGCTCGTTGATTTCATGATTATGGAAATGGTTTTTGGTTCTGTCACAAATGTTTCATCAAAGTGGTAAACGTCGTATGGGGGTCGTTAAGTTAAAAGCGTGAATGATTTTGAAGCTAAAATTGCCCATTATATACAAAAACATTTAAAATGTTAATGCCATGAAGATAAATACTTAATCTATCAACCACAAAACTTCACACCGTCATTTGTAACACATCACAGTGTAACAGATTGGACTTGGAGATATCAGCTGCAAAGCGTGACACATCGCATGCCTTCCCGTTATTGCTGTGGGAAGATGAATGAAGACAATATTAACTATTTTCGTAATGAATAGTTCGAAACATCTGGCACAACTTCACATAGGCTGTCCCAATACCATCACCGCAACATGAAACACGTGAGCCCCTCAACATACTTGAAAGACATTTCATCATGTTATCTTAAAAAAGCCAACTTTGAGGAATGTATTATACTTCCATGACACCATTTCGTTTTTAAGTGTCAACAAAATCAGGAAAAGCGCTATCGCGTCAAAGATCTTGTCCACCAGCATTAGATTGTCTGGTCAAGACTCGATTGTTTACAGTCAGCCGTCATATGGCAGTACTCCTGTGCGGCTTGGCAAGAAACACTTACATTTGTCTGCAGTGACGGGTGCTAACGGTCGAGCTGGAGATGCTTACCCTTTGCGAACACATGACCACATTCTAGCTCCGTTGTCTCCATCCTCCTCAAAGTTAAACCATTCAACGTGTTAACAGATACTGAGGCAATTCACTAACATATTAAGTCTACAAGTCATAATGCAGCAAAACATTGAAAATATGCAACAATTTGTTTTGTTCATTATATGATGACGGCGCCGTCACTGCACATTGCGATAACCACAACTACGATTCCAACGTTTTATCTTATCATTCTCATTCATTTTCATAAACAAAAGCAATTCAAGGCAGCAATATATTCAGAGCAACAGATACGAAAGACAAATGTTCCAAAGTCCAAAGTCGCATTACCATACCGATAACATATTGAATTCATAACATCATTTGTAAGCATTGATATTTGGCAGCCAAAATAGGTTTTAAAATATGACTTGCCACGGTTTTGTGACTCCAATCAAGGCTTCCCTCGACGAGTTTTAAATGACATGGTTACATTACGGAACAAACGCAACTGACATGTTTATGGCGACATCAAATGGATCAAGACAGCCAATTCCATTTCATTTTTGGGTAACAATGACTGCAGCCAATGTTTTGGTTTTTTTCAATAATGTTGCAGCCATATATGACGTACGACAGGACAAATGTTGGTGTCATTGGTGTGAACGCTTTGCCATGTTCAGCTGTCCTACGATACCAGAGGGAACGATGTTTATCCGTCAGACAAGGTGGCTTATTGGAGGTCCGGCGAGCTAAATATTGCTCACACATCAGTGTTTGTGTCTGGTGTACCGGTGTTTCTCCTTTCTGTTCGAACGTAGTCATCTCTACATCAACCGTCACCATTAGGACAAAGCCAATTTGTTGTCAGCCATTATTGTAGAGTACGATTACATCACAACCAGAGAAATCGCTGTAACACAGGGACCTTTGTATCAAGTGAAATTAACAAAAACAGTAAGTATTACTTAATATTTTGTTGTGTAGCACTCAGTGAGATAAGTGAAAGGATATGTCCGCGCTAACAGCTCAATCAGACATGGCTTACATCGGCAAATGGATTACTGCATAAAAGTGATTGCAGGCAGAGTTTGTTTGTTATTGAGTCAATCGGACCCTAATTAACATAATGGATAATCTTTAAAATAAGCTTCGATTCCGTGTAGCGCGTTTCAATGAACGACGTATTTATCTGCAACAAACCAAAGCAGATGTTCGTCTGGTGGATCAGACACATTTGTTGTTTTTATTGATTGTTTTGACACAGAATATCGTTTTGGTAGCAATAATACAATAACACGTCAAAACATCCAGCTTGCATCTGAAAAATGTGTTGTTTTCTTATGTTAAGCAAAGAATCAAGACAATGGCGTGATTCCTTATACGAAACAAATTACAAGAATGTACAACAATGTATAAACAGCACGTTTTAACTGATTGATGCTTAGATACTAAATTAAAGTATATGTGTGTAGATAACATCATAAATATAACATATCAACACGAGGTTCATCTGCTGCACAAATGGTCTTCAGATGCCATTGTCATTGGAAATATCACATGCCCCTCACATTAATTCAAAGTGCAAGTGTCACTATTGAAGACATTTAATACATCTTGACTTATACCGGTCACGTGTAACTTACTGTTAACTCTGCATAATTTACTGGAATACATGAAATTTGAATTATCAATATATCGATCGCACATGACCAACCTTGTGATGTTTGGCCTCCTGATGATTTATTTATTCGCGTTTACGAGAAGGTATAAAATCAAACGAAACCATGGATTCGGCATCGGCATTTCTCGTGTTTTCTTACAGCAATGGATATTTACTATGTGTTGATACTATTCAACACTCAAGATTTTTTCAGTGCGTTACCCATGAGCGAAGTGCTGGATGCATCACGTCCTACATGAACAACCAAAACTATTTGTCACAATACATTTAAATATCGGTTTTCTTCAATCGACCAGATTTATTCTTTTCTGAAGGCATTGGTTCCATGTTTATCCGGTGTGCATCAGTTTCAGATTGTGCTACGCCTTGTCGACAAGCTCGTTTCATTTGATCATATCCTTTTTTAAGTACTTCCAATGTTCGGCGTCGAAAGCTCCCAGAAAATGTAATATACACAATGAACTTGATTGCAAAGTTGATAATATACACAACATAAAACACCTGATTCCATTTAGCAATTTGAGGATTTTTTAACCCATGGATGGTCATTGCGGTTCTGAGGATCATAACAGGAAGATTACTCATTACTGTCAAGATAACAACAGGAAATACTATCTTCGTTACATGTGCCGAAGTTTGTGATCCCGTCCTTCCGTTTTGATTCTGATGAGAAAACAATTCCACTGAAGCAGAGATGCGATAATACTCACAACCTCTGATCATAATGAGAGCTGTTAAGATGACGATGACTCCATATGGAATTATAGCAATCACGAAGGTGTCAATTTTGCTCAAATTTTCAAAATGAAGTCGGAGTTCCTTCCAAGGCATGCATTGCAAAATGCCATAAAATTTATCGGGTCCAAAGAAATACACAACATATGAATAACACGCCACTGCAACAACGGCCATGAAGGACATAACTAATTTTGCTCTAAATGGTGTACACATGGTGCTTTTTTGCATAGGCCAGTAAACTCCAATAAATTTTTCCACAACAAGAGCTACGAGATACCAGATAGACAAAAATGTAAACACATAGTTGAGAAATGTCATGAACTGGCATAATCCATCTTGGATGATAATAGGTACCTTATAATATCCATATAATGGAGTAAGAAACGATGTCCACAAAAAGCCAGTGTCGGTAATGGCAAGCGCAGCTAAATATTGAACCGACGACACTTTCTTTAAGCGGGTTCGTGTGAAAATCACGTAAGCAAGCACATTCCCAATTGTTCCCATGGTTAGGATCACAGGATATCCGTAGAACTGGAACTGAAGGAGCGTGGCCATCATGGGATCCATGGTTGGTATCCTCCTGAATCTCGGTGTGGGTCTTCTGCTTGTACTATTCAAGTCGAAACTCAGCATCCCATCAGAGACGTTTCCATTCACATAGCCGAAGTTCTCATTGTCCAGTTCCAGATCCATGGTCACAGACTCAGGTGTTAACGTCATGCTGCTGAACGACCAAGTTACAGATTGTCATATCAGTATAACGATGGAGTCACACAATGACAGGATCACTTGGAAAATGCTTACCGCTCCTGAGAATAAAGAAAAAAATCATCGTCAGTTATAACTGTCTTTGAGCTTGATAATATAACTAGATTGTAAGTTGGCCAATATGGCTTTTATTAATCAAAATTTTATCCTAAGAAGCTTTCACTAAATAGATTTGAATGCGCTTAGTACATTGTATTAGGAGCAAACTTGATTACCTACTGGTGGAAATGGTTTTTAACATATTTACAGGATATTATACGATCTTCAATTTACTTTCACGGTTATTATGTCCATAGTGAAATAATTTTCAGTTTGTCCGAGGTTACCGAGGCACGTGTTGTTCTTCGATTCTTTTCAGAACATTTTAGGGAATAACTTAGTTTCTACCTTTGCAGTTTTGTATTTGTAATTTGTGTTTTGTCAAATGAGGGGGATTTGTCCTAGTGTGAAGCTACATCCTAAATTCTTCGGTCATCTCTGTGAACTGGCTTACTTCATTCAGCGAACAAGATAATCCGCTGCATATGCATATTTAAATGAGACATCTTTGTCTGCAGAACTACTTCAGCATATTATAATAAAGTGATACAGTAATGTACGGTTATAACGAACTGAAAGGGACTACTAATTTTAGTTCCTTATAACCGTAGTTCGTTATAAGCATATATACAGCATAACTACAGCAAATAGTCGGGACCAAAAAAGTAAGTTCGTTATATCCGTTAGTTCGTTATAAGCGTGTTCGTTATAACCGTAGTTTACTGTAAATTGAAATTACTTCGGTTTGTTTTTCTGTGTCATCGTATGCAAAAACTATGTTCTTGTGGTGGAAACACGAACGAATGAATGAAGCGAAAGGAGTCAGGGTTCACCATCAGCCAAGCAAATGCCCAGAACAACAGAAAAGTGACATGTGGTCTTTTGGAAATTAAAAAGAGTCCAATTTTATTGTCACAGCTAATCTTTCTGCTGTCACACATGTGCGGTCAAAAACACTATGAGTGATTAGTTGACGAGGCGCAAGGCAATATGTCATCATTAGGGTTTCTTTTCCTGTACAAAGATATTATTAGTGACATCCCAATAGGACATACAAGAGGCCTATTAATGCCCACTGGGATTCGTGTCATGGCTAGGAGAGTGTGTTTAATCCTCGATAAATGTACCGTCGACAACAGCCTTGAAAATGATACATAACACTTTGTATTGGATATAAAATCGTTATTCCATATGTTATTCCTTAAAACAAGAGTAGTAGCTTAGTGGTTGGTAGTGATGGCTTGTTGAGCTTAAGACTCGAGGTCGAATCTCAACACTTACGCGATGTCTGAAGCCCATTCATGGAGTGGTCCGCCGTAATATGTTTGGTTGGAATAATGCTAAAAACTGGCGTCATACTCATTTCAGTAATTTTCATGGCTATTAACTATTTAGTCAGAACTTTGAGATTGGTTTCAAACGTTAAAGAGTTCAAGATTTAAATCATAAAGGATGGCAAAAAAGTGAAGTGCTTTAAATCATTCCTTGTCAGATTCGGATGAAATTCTGGACCATATGTCTTGAACGGGTATGATAACACATCCGGACGTACCTACATTTAAAGAATCCATATTCGATAACTGATCAAAAGAAATAAATGTTACATTCCACATTGATACCACCAAATAATATTTCCTTAGAGATCATCCTCATCGTACAATAGATATTATTATTGCCTTGAAGCATTACCACGGTCATGGCTTGGTATTACCCCAAGGGGACGTCTGTATCGGGTTTGATGATCAAAACATCGCAAAGAGAAGTACTTCAGGAAATTCAATGATAGATAGATAGACATTCTTTATTTCCTCCAGATATTGAAGATACATATCATATATGATATTATGTATAATTACAGAGCTGTACAGTAGTACAATTTAACAATATTATGAGAAATGATAACTGCAAAATGCATGACAATCAAGCATTCTTATAACTGTTTTGTAACAGATACAGCCATTTCCTACAGTATCATGACACAATAACCATAAGGTCACCCCATAGACTTTGAGATAAAGGGCTAACACACTCAGGCATACCGCCAAGTAGTACAGACAGGATAATATCATCGTCCTCACTACATAGTCTTGCAAATGTAGAGACATCTATCACATCACAAATGATTTCAAATAGTTCATTTCTTTCATTCATATTCAATGTACAATACAAAAAGACATGCTTAATAATATCATGAGCTACAATTCTACATCGACATTCCCTAGATTCTATATTTAGGCATCCCAGCCGTACAAGATGAGACAGGTTTGGAACTGTTCAGTACGTTCAAGTGCAAGCAGCCAGAGTCTGTGTTCTTTATCATTACGTATAGTAGCGAAACACATCTATTTAAGTTAAGTCTAGATAGCAGCTTAGAGCATACAGCTTCCTGGTCTGCAAAAACAATCCTTTCCTTAACAATATCAGACCATGCCTTTTGACTTGGGAAGCTACATTTAATTAGATAATCTTCTATTTCTTCATAGAGATTGCATTTTTTGACAAGTCTAAGCATGTTATATACAGGTGACAAAGCACATCGTTTTCTGAAGTTATCCAACGCTATTTCGTATCTAAACTGCCCAAGGCGAGTAATGAATACCTTTTTAAAAACATAGCTGTAACTGGACCGGCATAGTTTTCCAAGAAGTAACAGTGACTGTTTGTCAATAAAGGATTGGCGATATATCAAGCCCAAGTTGTCCACAGCAACAGTACCTGATGTACATTTTGGAAGGCCCTGTATTTTTCTACTGAAATAACGTTCAATAACTTCAAGCATATCGTATTCTTTGAGGGTTAATAGTCCCCAGACATTACATCCATAGAGCCCGCATGGGAGTATCACTCGTTCCCAGATCCTTTTTGCTGGGTTCATGCGTCCAAACTTTAGTCCAGTATCATTATTACTATTGATTAACATTTTTAACTTTTCACAAGCTAATTGTGTTCATTCTAAGGAAGACTTATTCGAGCTAATCCTGACACCTGCATATATTATAGATTGCTGAAGTGGAACACACATACTGCCCAAGTACAGTGATTGAGAGCGGGTAAATTTACGCTGCACATCAAATATTAGAACAGCGCTTTTCGTGACATTGTACCATTTATATGCATACTGATTTACAACATTGAGAAGATCTTGAAAGCCTGTTGCTGAGCTACTAAACAGTGTTGTATCATCTGCCAAGAGCTGGCCTGGAGTATGTGCCCACGGCAGATTTAGCCCTTGCTTAGAGCGTTCCAGCTCACATAACAGATCATTTATATACAATGTAAAGAGCCAAGCAGATATAACTCTGCCTTGACCAACTCCTTGGCGTACATGAAACAAGTCTGATCTATAGCCTGCAAAGCTGACATAGGAGTACATAGACATATAAGAGCTACGTAGTATTCGCCATGTTTTACCCGTGATACCAAGGTTATAAAGTTTTAGAAAAAGTCCATCTAGCCATACCCTGTCGCAGGCTTTTTCATTATCTAAAAATGCACAGTGGAATGGAGAACTTCTTTCATTGTAATATGCTATTGCTTCTAATAGAGTGAGTTCCGCAGTGTCTGCACCTGCATTCTTGCGAAAGCCAAATTGGAGAAGATGTGGGAAATTACCCAGGATTCGATTCTGTTGAGTATGAGCCTTTCCAAAAGTTTACCAAAAGCAGATGTCATAGTTATTCCCCTGTAATTAGCAGGATCCGCCTTGCTTTTACCATGACCTTTATCAATTAGGAGGATCTGACCTATGTTGTACTCACAAGGTATATATTCATAGTGCACAATTGCATTGAATAAAACCAATGAGATGGTGATGAATAGATCAATGTGAGCACATGGGTACCACGGTACTGTTGAATTCAAGACGACGTGAGACATCATTACTGTATACTCTATGATTATCTTTTATCATATCGTCTAGGCCTTCTAACATGCCGAACCGTAAACATGGTTTCAATGATGTAGTTTAGAAGCATCACAAGTGATGAATTGGCAGTTGTGTACCACTGTGTGTGATAAAGTGCATTTGAAGTTTTATTATTCTACGGTTAATACTTTATGTAGCAATGGTGCAACATCAACCTCTTTATGAATAACTCATAAAGCATTTGTTGTGTTACTCTCACCCAGATAATATTTGTGTAACGTGACTATACCAGGTGCCATAGCCTACTCGTAGACTATTAACTCGAACGCCGTCACGAATGAGCTTATTTGTCAACAGCCATGAAATATCCCCTCTACATGTTCACGTACAGAGTGTTTCTTAACATCATACCTAGCCTAATTACAAACTGGAAATACCAACCTATTCACTTACAAGAGGTTTTGAGAAAATTTATCTAAAACATAAACGATGGACTCGTGAAAGGTTCCCATTGTTGATCGGTAGTACCCTTCTAAGCATCTCTTCTGTAGCAGGCTAAGATCAATCCCCTTAAAAACTCACTCTAGAGCCTAGGTTCAGATCATTCCCCTCTACTAGGCCCAAAACACTCACTCTCCGTAGGGCTCAAATTACTCCCGTACATTGTTACAGTATTCTACATTTTTGGCATACAGTTGTGAAGCTTCTGATGTCCATGTGGCCTCTTTCTCACTTGAAAAGGTAGTAGGATTATATCGACATACATATTCTTTGTGGTCAGTCGGTAGTTGTGCATGAAATTATCTGTATACATTGCTTTAGAATTAACATGTGACATCAATCGCTCAATGAACAACATACATTCTTCGTTGTAGACAGTTGTTAGTTGTGCATGAAATGGTATGTATACATTACTTTTGAATTAACATGTGACATCAATCGCTCAATGAACAACATACATATTCGTTGTAGGCAGTCGGTGGTTGTGCATGAAATGATATGTATATATTACTTTGGAATTAACATGTGGCATCAATCGCTCAATGAACAACAACAAACTTGAACAAGTGTAGAAATGTAAGTTATATTTGCCACAGACAACCCACGTTGCGAAATCATTATTGTATTGCATGATCC